GACCATGGGCAGGCCCAGCCAATCTATAGGCTGGAAAGATAACATGAGGTAGGGTGCTGAAAAAAAGCAGAAACAATTATGTTGGCTTCCCAGTTGTAGGTTGTCTCACAATAAAAATCCCTTGAGAAAATTTAGAGCTATGTCCCTCCAACCAAAACAGCCTTGACAAAAGCTTCTCCCAGGAGTCTTTACACATTAGCCTTATCTTTATCTGAGCCAGTAGAGGCTAGGTCCCTGTGACAGTTCATTTTATGTGTCAACCTGGGTAGACCACAGTACTCATATATTTGATCAAACATCATTCTAGATATTTCTGTGAAGGTATTTTTTTAGATGAGGTTAATGTTTAAATCAGTAGACTTTGAGGAAAGCACATTATCCTCCATAATGTGGGTGAGCCCCAGCCAATTAGTTGAAGGCCTTAATAGAACAAAGACTGATCTCCTCTGAGGAAAAGGGAATGCCGACAGACTGCCTTCAGACTCCAACTGCAACTCTTATCCCCTAGGTCTCCAGTCTGCTTGTCTACCCTGTAGATTTTGAACATGGCAAGCTTCCACATTGCATGAGCCAATTCCTTAAAATAAATTAATATCTGTCTCTCAATATATATGTAGATAGATAGATGATAGATAGATAGATAGATAGATAGATAGATAGATAGATAGATAGATAGATAATGTGTGTAAACACATCCTGTTGGTTCTGTTTCTCTAAAGAACCCTGACTAATACAGTCCCTGGTAAGAAAGTTGAGGCATGAGTGGGAGTTAAGAGGATTACATTAGCGACTTCCTAATGCCCCTGAAGTCCTCTGCCAAACCCTTTATGATACTTCATGGTATTGGAGCAACAGCTAGGTTTGATGGGGTTCAGGAGGAGCCCAGTCCTGGCCCAGTCACTAAGTTTGTGACCTGGGGCCAGTCATTCCACATCACTGGGTCTTGCACTCCTTTTTTTGGAAAACAAGAAGACTGACTAGATCAGAACCTGAAAACACACTACATGCTGCTCATGGTAGACATCATTGGATAATCCCATTTTTTTCCTACTAAAATTTTGTGGCAGCTTATAACTTGTAAACGTATGGCTTACCAGCCAGTCTAAGTTGGTTCATGAAAGTAAACCAATTTGCGATGCCAACATTATTTGGTTTCGAAAGCCCCCACCAGCTAAAATGAAATGAAGCCACTGAAATTACCGTCACTGCTGGGCAGGGAACTTGTTTGAAAAATAAAGCTCAACCCTTGGGTGAAAGTGACTGGGAATATAGGAAAAACCCAGGGAGGAAGCTCCAGAGAGGGTGAGTTACGCATGTGCTGTACTTGCCACCACCGAGCTCTCTTCTTACATGTTTTCCAGTCTCTTATCTAGATCTGATCTAAACCCCCATTTTGTTTGGAACGCCCCAGTGGTACTTGCACTAGTGCCCACCACCCGACATATTTACCTCAGCAATGCTGATGGAGATGATGAACACAGGGGGTGGGAGGCAATTAGCTCTCTCCAAGTATGTTCTTCGGACATTTTCCGGAAGCATCCATTTTGAGACAATCCTGTGGACCTTTTTGTTCTTGAAGGGATCTTTACCTTCCCCATCCTCTCTCATTTTCTTCTCTTCCTCCAGCTCCTCTTCTATGTCTCTACCCATATGCACATTCTCCATCTCCAAATCATGAGCAGCAGCCATTGTCCTGGGTCCTACCTCCACCTGAAAGAGATAGGAAAATCAGGGAAAAACAGACAACCCTATAGTCTTCGGGCCATGGTTCATTTCCTGGCTTCTCTGACATAATCAATGGTTTCCAAAGCCTTTCCTATATGTTAATAGAAGGCAACTGAAGAGCTGGTGCCCAAATACTCGTAATATCCATACTCTCATTCCCAGTTTGTAATTGTGACAAAGTACTAGGGTCTCCCCAAATGAGGGAGAGGACTCCTAGGGGTCACTTATGGTTTCATCTACTGCCACCACCCAAGGAATGGATTGGAGCCTCCAAATGGCACCACTACCTTGTACACCCTTCTTTCCCCTCTGCCACTGACTTTCAAGTCAACTCTTAGCTTTGCCCTGAAGGTGATGTATCTCAGAGCTCAAACCATGCACAATGTATAACTGAACTCAGTGTTTTCTAACCTAACTGAGCAATCTCCTTTCCCCTCTTAGTTTCATCTTGCTTCTACTCCCAGGTTTCTGATTCAGAATCAAAAGTCACTTATTGAGCATCTACTGTGTATCAGGCACTATGCTGAGGACTGTCACATCTATTGACTCATTAGGTTCCCAAAATAACCCCAGGAGGCAGGGATTTGTAGATAAAAGACTGAACTTCCCACTTACCCAACTCCCAAAAAAAAAAAAACCACGTAACTTTGATAAGCTTCAAACTTACATCTCCCCTTTCTAATGTATCAGTATCTTTGCTAAAATACCTCTGCTGACCATTCTGTAGCACACTTGAGTTAACAAGGCCATTCCTTACTAGCTCTCCAGGTACAATGTCAACACTCTTGCTAAAACACATCTTCCAAACAACTCTCTGACACCAAAAACTCTTGGTTGAGTTCCTACTAATTTCTACACCCAGTAGTCCCTTGGACTCAATCCTCAACATTCAATCAATCAATCAGGCATTTATTCAACAAATATCTATTGAAAACCTACTATGTATCAGGCCACCATTACATTACATTACAAACATATCCCAAAATGTTTGTAATGTAATGGAGGAGACAGAGGTCGATAAAAATTACATAAATAATTGTATAGTTACAACTGTGCTAGGTGATGCCAAGCAGATGCTAGGATACTGGGCAGCACGTCTATAACACTCTTTCCTCTCCCTATACCATGGTGCTATCTGTACTGTTCTTTTCCTTTTGGTTTGGTTCTGTTATTTTTATACTCCTGGTTAAACTACTTAAATCACTCAATCAAATGTTTCCATGGTCTGGGCGGCCGGTTAGCTCAGTTGGTTAGAGCGCAGTGCTCATTAACACCACAGTTGCCAGTTAGATCCCCGCATGGGCCACTGAGCTGCACCCTCCACAACTAGATTGAAACAACTACTTGACTTGGAGATGATGGGTCCTGGAAAAATACATTGTTCCCCAATAAAAAACTTAAAAAAAAAAAAAAAAGGTTTCCATGGTCAAAAAAAGCGAGGGGAGGGCTCGAATATATTAAGAGAAAAAACATCATGTTGCAAAATAGTATATAGAATATGATCTAATTTTTGTAAAAAGTAATGTACTAATATACACACAGGAAGAAATCTGGAGAATTAACCATGATTATATCTGCATGGTAGGATTTCCTAGATTTTTGCCCTTTATGTAGGAGTGGGCCCAGATTTTGAGGAGCTTTAAATAAATACATAAAATTAAAATTACAAAATAAAAAAAAATTATAAAAGTAGATACACCACCTTAGAAGGATCCCACGTGAGAGGTCTGAAGCTTAAGCTTTATTAGTTTCATGCATAATCCACCTCTGTGTCTATCTACTTTTTTAAGTATGTATTACTATTTTAATTTAAAAGATAAATAAAGCCATATGAGACCTTTGCTTGACCCTAAAGTTTCGACTGCTATACTATTTCTCTCTTCCCCTTTGTAGCCCAATGTCTTGAAGGAGGGGTTTGTACCCACTAACCATCTTGTCATCTGCATCCCCCCATTACAACTGTTCTCATGAGTTATGTCCTTCAAACAACTCTACTTTAGTGATGTGCAAGTCCTAAGGATGTGTGTATGCAGTCCACCCTTGGCATTTCAAAGCATGTCCCCTTGCAAAATCTCACATACTCCTCAGAACAATCTGTGAAAATAAAGAGAAGGCAAGCAGTCTGTTCCAAATCCTCCTTGTCTTCAACCTTCCTACCAGACCTCTCTGTTGAAATCCCTTCACCCCTTTCATCTCAACCATAGTCCATTCACTGACTCCCTTCTCCCACTCCCCGGCCACCAGCATCCCCTCTGTACACTTCAACAACACTCTCATCCTACAACTGGGCTTGTGTAACTGGGTGAAGAGGGGCATAGTGGTAAGGTCACTAAAGGATAAACCCAGGTTTTGATGCTAGGTAGACCTAGGAGTGACATGTCTTATTCTTCTTTGTAACCCTACTCACTAGCCCTGGGTCTGGTACCATGAGTGGTAGAATGATGGCTGCCCGGGGTTGGGGGGGAGGAGGGAACAGGGAGTTACTGTTTGTGGGTACAGAGTTTCAGTTTGGGAAAATGAAGAAATTCTGGAGATGGATGGTGGTGATGGTTAAACCATGTAAATGTAGTTAATTCTACTGAACTGTACACTTAAAAATGGTTAAATGGTAAATTTTAAGTTATGTACGCTTTACCACACACACGCACACAAAGCTAAACAGTAATATTAAACTTCCAAAGTCATTGTGAAATCTAGATAGAGTATAAACTTTTTTACCACAATGTATTTAATAAATAGTAGCTAATGCTACTGATAATTTTGGCTTCATCTAATGTATCTAAACTTCCTAAATGGCCCCAAAATAAAATTCACACTGTAATTTATTTTAAAGCATGAGCCATGAAGCCAGATAACTGAGATTAAAACACAGCTCTATAACATATCAACTGTAACCTTAGATCACTTAAATTCTCTGAGCCTCAAATTACATTTTTTTTAAATTGTGGTAAAACACACATCACATAAAAGTTACCATATTAATCATTTTTCTTTAATTGGGGAACAGTGTGTTTTTTCAGGACCCATCAGCTCCAAGTCAAGTAGTTGTTTCTATCTAGTTATGGAGGGCGCAGCTCAGTGGCCCATGTGGGGATCGAACAAGCAACCCTGGTGTTATGAGCACCGCGTTCTAACCAACTGAGCTAACTGGCCGCCCCCCATCTTAACCATTTTAAACTGTACAATCCAGTAGCATTAAGTGCATTTACAATCTTGTACAACCATCACCACTAATCTAGTTCCAGAACTTTTTTGCCACCCTAAACAAAAACCCCCATACCTATTAAGCAGTCATTCCTTATCCCTCCTCCTTCCAGTCCCTGGCAACCATTAATCTGCTTTCTGTCTCTATGGATTTACCTATTCTGGGTATTTCATTTAAATGGGATTATATAATATGTGACTTGTTGTGTCTGTCTTCTTTCACTTAGTAAAAGTCTTCAAGGTTCATCCGTGTTACAGCATGTGTCACTACTCCATTCCTTTCTATGGCTGAATAATATTGTATTGTATAGCTAGACATTTTGTTTCTTTATCTGTGGAAGGACTTTTGGGCTGTTTTTACCTTTTGGCTACCGTGAATAGAGCTGCTAGGAACATCCCTGTACAAGTTTTGTTTGAGGTTTTATTTTCAATTATTTTGGGCATACACCTAGGAGTGGAATTGCTGGGTCATATGGTAATTCTATGTTTAACTTATTGGGAAACCCTCAGATTCCATTTAAAGTGGGGTCGATAATAATAGCACTTACCTCATAGCATTGTTGGGAAGATTTTTGAGATAATGCATGTAAAGCACTTAGAATAGTATCCAGTGAGTAGTAAACATTCCTTAATTGTTAGTTATTATTGGCTATGAATGGATGAGTGGGTGTGTGGATGGATGGGTGATTGGAAATCAAGATAAATGCAGTTTTCAAGTGTATTTCATTAGGCAAGATTCCACGTTACAATAGGTTTTATTCAAAAATAAAGTTAGGGAAGAATTATTTTCTTTTTCTTTTCCCCAACAATTTTTCTGAAAATAAAGGCTTTTTCCCTCCCACACATCTTCCACCTTCCTCTCACCCAACTTTGAAGGGTCAGACCTTAAGTCCATATATATATATAACTATTTTGTTAATTTTCCTTGGATATTGATGATTTTTCTAGTTTTTGGTCACTCCTCATAATTGGCAAGACACAGGGTGGATTTAAGACCAGCAGCTTTAACCACAAATATTAAAGCATTTAAAAAATAAGTTCA